GAGCGGATAGGGCCCCTGGGCGCTGGAGCGGCCCAGGGAAGGGACAGCGCGAATGGAAACAGATCCAGAAAGCAGCAGCACTTCTCAGCTGGAGCCGCGCCCCGCTCACCCGGCGCTGGAGCTGTTCCAGAACAGCAGCGTTTGCTGGACCTGGGGGAGCTTTTTCTAAAGGGGAAGGAGGGAGACACGTGGGCAGAGGTCAGGAAGCAGCAGCAGGAGCATTTACATTAGCAGGCTGAAACCCACAGCCCCCCCCAGGCTGATCCAGAAAGCAGCAGCACTTCTCAGCTGGAGCCGCGCCCCGCTCACCCGGCGCTGGAGCTGTTCCAGAACAGCAGCGTTTGCTGGACCTGGGGGAGCTTTTTCTAAAGGGGAAGGAGGGAGACACGTGGGCAGAGGTCAGGAAGCAGCAGCAGGAGCATTTACATTAGCAGGCTGAAACCCACAGCCCCCCCCAGGCTAAGAAAGCCACAGGCAGGGGACCCAAGCAGAGTAGCAGGAGATGGGAGAGTGCGAGCAGAGAGATTCTGCTTTGGGGGGCAGACAATCGGCACACGACTGTGAGCCCGGGACTGTGTGTCTGTCTCCCAGGCAGCTGACAGATGGGCAGGGGGAAGACCAGGCCCCGGTTCAAGCACCTTGCTGCTCCAGTCTGCAGGGGACTCTCGTTAGTGGCCGGGCAGCTCTAGCCTGGCCGGACTAGAGGAGAGGAGGAAGAGCGACGAGCAGCTTTTGCAGGCTTCTGGCTGCTCCTCATGCCCAGGTCTCTGCCTCTTCCAGAGAAAGCCGAGCCCACTGCATTGACATCGAGACGGCCTACATGCAAGGCTGCGAGAAGCTCGACCAGGCTGTCGTGGTGGGTAGCGTTTGGGAGCTGCCTTCTGCGGGTCAGTCTGGGGCTGGTTTATCACCGGAATTGCGGGGGTGCGGGAATGGCTCTGGGATGGCTCCGTCCGCTGTACGGGAGTGAACGTTGCTTCATGGCTGCGGGGGGTGGACAGCGCCCAGGCCCGGGCCACGTGTCCTGGCTCAGTCACTGCTTGCCCCCGACTCCCCCACTGTCTCATGCTCCCTAGGCCGTGAAAGAGCTGCAGACGTCCACGCGAGAGGCCATCGTCCTGCTCAAAGCCATGATCGAGGAGGTGCGCAACAGCGCGGACGAAGAGAAGACCTCCATCAACTCGCTCTTCAGTAGCATGCAGGTATGGAGCAGCTGGCCGCGGCCACGGCTGGCCCTTTGGTGGGCTGCCCAGAGAACAGGCTTCCAAGCGGCACTGCCCGGACACTGCACCCACATGAGGGGGATCAACAGCCAGCAGATGCTCTCAGAGTGCGGGAATTATCCACCTCGGGCCCCCTTCGCCTCTCACCCCCACTGGCGGCAGGGGCGCTCCCCCGCCTGACAGGGAGAAGTCAGAGAATCAGCTTCTCCCATCTGTTCTCCCAGGCAGAGGGGCATCTCGGCACCTCATTCCCCACGGGGCGGAGAGGGGTGAGAGCTCAGCAGTGGACTCGAGAGCAGGGAGACTGTTTGCGCTCAGCCTGGGCCTGGTGAACGGCAGCAGCTCGCTAGGGAAGCTCTGATCATTGTCTTTCTCCCGCCGCAGGAGAAACTAGCAGAAAGGAAAAAGATGCTTCTGAAAGCTGTTCAGAGGTAAGGCCAGCCAGCACCGTCACAGGGACTACCGTTTTAATGGGGAGCTTTAGTAAGCTTCTGCAAAAATCCCAATCTCTCATCTGGGTCACAGAATCCGCATGCAGAGGGAAGAGCAACAGATACGTTAACAGGTAAGAGAAAGCGAGAGGGGCAACTCCTCCTTCACACACCTGCCACGGTTAACGGCAGCTAGAGCAGAGCGGAGGATTCCTCTGTGTTGCTGCTCTGCTTTCAGAAAAAGAGGAAGAAGAGCGGAGGCGTTTGCAGTAAAGTCCCCGGCTGCCCCTGTCCCTTTCCATTCAGAGGCAAGAACTTCTACCGCAACAAGATCAAGGACCGTGTGATAAACTTCAATACGTTGTTGAGGGTGATTTTGTTCTCCCGGACATTGGGCTTGTCTTCACTTGCCCCGAGATCGATGCTCTGGAGATTTAGACCCGCTAAATCAAACCCTGGGAGATCAATCGACCACTCATGATGCGCACACACCCCCCCCCCGGTTGACCCACGTATGCCACCGGGTCACGAGGAGTCAGGGAAGTCGACTTGAAGAGTTTCTCATGTCGACCTCCCCCAGTGGGGATGCTTCGGAAATTCAACCTAAGGTACCTCAATTCCAGGAACTCCATTCTCATAGCTGGAGCTGTGTATCTTAGGTCGACTTTCTCCCGTAGTATAAACCTGGCCTAGAGCCAGCTGTCAGCATTTGTGGCTGCATTACTGATCACTTGCTCTCTCTCTCTCATTCACACACCCCATTTCACTGGTACAGGTTGAACCTCTGTCTAGTCCGGCACCTTCGGGACGTGACTGGTGCCAAACCAGAGAATTTGCTGGACCACAGGAGGTCAATATTGTCTAGCAGCATCACCAGCACTTCCACAGCTTGCTGGGCTCTCAGAAGACACTGGGGTAAATTAGAGCTAGATAGCACAGAACACGGAGAGCCAGGACTGGTGGATGTAAACAAACTTTATGGGACCGCGGGAATCATGGCCACACCCCCGCTAAGTGGACACTGGCTAACATCATGCCAGACCATGGAGGTTGCCGGACCAGAAGCTGCCGGGCTAGAGAGGTTCAACCTATAGCTGACCGAGCAAGCCGCCCATTAGTGTCAACATTTTTGTAACTGATAAACAGAAAAGTTGGTGCAGCTAATATTAGCGAGCAGTCCCTCTTCCCACCTGCAGTCCTGCCCCTTCCTCTAGGCCAGCTGTCCTGTCTGCATTTTGGACATTAGCAGCCCTGCAAGTAGGGTGCCAATTGGTGTCAGCTCCATAAGACGCGATGAAGGGGCTAGTTCGGCAATGGACAGTTCCAGGTTTTATTCTTTTCAGTCAACGTTTTTACAAAGTTGCAAACATTTCAGCGGTTGTTTTGCAGGCTGAGCCTCAGCGCAGGCAGCTCGCCCAGCAGAGGGGACAGCAACAAACCAGCGAGCTGGGGCACACGAGTTGATCTGGATTGTTGCTCTTGCCTCCAGCTGCAAGAACTTGCATCCCAGTTTGAATTTTAAAAAAGGATTTTCCAACAATACAAACGTCCTCATGCCTTGTGAAATATTTTACTGTTAATACAAATGAGTCACACGACGTTTCAGGTACTTAGTCAGCACCCACACCATTAAACAACATGGCGAGCGCTGTGTTCTAGCCAGCACCCTCTCACTCCTGGGTTTTTCCAGTCGTCTAATCCACAGCCCAGGTTATACAATAGTGACCCTGAGCTGGTCTAGTGACGTTACCTAGGCTGTGTCTACACGGCCGTGTTATTTCGGACTAACGGCAGTTATTCTCACATAACACCATGCGCGTCTACACAGCAAGCCCGTTATTTCAAAATAATTCGAAGTTATGGGCTTCTTACTCCGACTTCTGTCAACCTCATTCATGAATAAGGGAAGCCAGGGGAAGAGTGCTCAATTTCGACAACTGCTGTGTCGACAGCATCAAAAGCTCGCAATTAGTGTAGCTCAGGTTACATAGCTTCTTTCGAGGTTAGCCCTGCTGTGTAGACATGCCCCTGCTGACCTGCCAGGGCCCCGGACAGGTCCAGTATATTTCTTGGTAAAACACTATTCAGTTCCCTTCCTCCACAGCCAGTAGGCGAGGCGTGAGCTGGACCAGAAAACTGGGTTTTGCAGTAATAATATGTACGAATAGTTGGGTCCTTCCCGCGCAGTCTGGTCTCGACAGTGAAGTAAAATGTTGGTTTTCTCCTGTAATGTCCAGTCAGTATGAAGAGAAGGAAAAGGCGTTTAAGGAGCAACTGTCTCACCTGGCATCCCTGCTGCCCACCCTGCAGGTAAGCCCAGGCCAGTCCCAGCCCCGCCGGGCTACGCTGCTCCTGCAAGGCGCACGCTCTCCGGGGAGCCCAGCAGATGCTCAGTGATCCCGCGATCTCTAGGCTCCTGGCTGGTTGCTTGTTTACATAGGAGTCAGTCAATACACGGGGCTCTCGGGCCTCAGTGCAGCACCTCAGTGACCAGCAGCTCCAGGATATTTCCCAGGAAAAGAAAACAGCCAACTAAGCGCAGGGTTGGTCGCGTGGCCATGGAGCGGCCGCCACGCTTGCCTGCCGCTCTGCAGCCAGGCTGAACCAGAGCTGCTAGAAACCTTCGTGTCCCTCCAGGCTGGGGTGTTTGCCAAGGCCAGCCGGGTGTTCACACTTCGCTCCTGGAGCGGTTTTCCCATGAACCCAGCAGCCACGCTGCAGCGGGGAAACTGAGCCACAACCCGAGCAGTGCTGCGCTGCTGTAGCTCCCCCGGGGCCCGTTCCACACCTGTGAGTTCAGAGAGAAGGGTCAGACCCGTCGTGCCCACGAGTGGCAGAAGCTGGTCCACCGAGTGGGGGATTGTGCACGGCATCGTTCCCAGAGGAGGGGTGGCTCCGTGGCACACGGGGCTTTGGTCGGGTCCTCAGGCCGCGGGCGTTTTCCATCTGCCAGGGCCCTGCCAGGCTCTTCCTGGTCTCTGCCGTGGTGACATCCACCCACTGAGCACTTACTGCGTATACCTGGGCTGGGAATTCCCCCGGGGCGGGAACCCCTCCCCCGCCAGGTGCCCAGCCCTGGGGTTGTGCAGCGGATGTGAGTAATGGCCCTGCTTTGTCATTCTGTCCAGGTCCATCTGGTCACCTGCTCGGCCTTTCTGAGCTCTGCCAACAAGGCCGAATTCCTGGATCTGGGCTACGTAAGTAACATTCTGAGCCTGGAGCGCTGGCTGCCTTCCACAAGCACCGGGGGGGGGGCGGAGCCGTGTGCCTCCCCGGAGCCCCAGGGAGAGGGGAGCGGAGAAAAGGATTCCCTCAGCCTGTAGCCCCAAACGCGCCCGGACCCCAGAGGTGGGAAGACGCTTGGCTCACGGGCTCGCACTTTGGGGGTGGTCGTCTCACTCCCTGCCCTTGGGTGTCAGCTGCGCCAGGGAGCGGAAACCCAGCAAAATGTCAGGAGCCAGCCCCTGTCTGTGCCAGGCCTCTGGGGCAGAGTCCCCCAGCAGCACAGACGCAGGCACCGGCACTGCCCCAGGGCCCTGGAACATTTCCTAAGACCTTCCGCAGAGCTGAGCAGAAAGCTCTTCGCCGTCGGCCTGGTCGCGCCGCCCTTGGGTGTCAGCTGCGCCAGGGAGCGGAAACCCAGCAAAATGTCAGGAGCCAGCCCCTGTCTGTGCCAGGCCTCTGGGGCAGAGTCCCCCAGCAGCACAGACGCAGGCACCGGCACTGCCCCAGGGCCCTGGAACATTTCCTAAGACCTTCCGCAGAGCTGAGCAGAAAGCTCTTCGCCGTCGGCCTGGTCGCGCCACTAGTGTGCGGGGCAGCCCACGGCGAGAGGGCAGCTCCCGGCACGTCCGACAGCCAGGCCCACAGCGGGAAGGAGGGAGGGAGCAACGGG